CCCCCCCCCCCCCCCCCCCCCCCCCCCCCCCCCCCCCCCCCGCTCTGGCCCCTCCCTCAGAGATTGCTTGTAGCACTTCCGCTCACCCCCTACCTTCTCCTCTCTTGGGAAGTATAGGTCTTGGTGGGTGTGGAATATTTTTATTCTTGATTTTTGAAACAATACCGCACTGAAAATTCCAAGCAAGCAAATCCTTGCGAATCGCTTTCAGTCTGCAGCAGTGGTTTTGGGCTTAAAGACAAGAGGCTGGAGATGGGCACGCAGCTTTTCATTGTTGCTGAGTTCACTCTTGGATCCTGTATGCCTGCCTTAGCAAGTGTCCTTGCCCAGGTGGGCTGTGGCTTCTAGATAAAGTCCTTCCTTCTCCTGGACCATGAAACACGTCCATTTATAAATTGCAGTAACCCCTTTTCTGCCCATTTCAGATGAAGTAACTGAATGCGGAGTGAATTGGGCGTCTTCACTTCCAGGACGTACGGGCACTCAGGAGCCCTCCTCTTCCCAAGCTTTAAGAGTGCTGGTGTCCGCTTTCCTTTTGCTGCTCACAGGAACCTGATTTCTGTGTAGTAGCTGTCCAGCCTTTAGCCTTGTGGACGTCTCTTCTCTTTGAAGTAGAGTGGGCTGCCGCAGAGAATACCGGTACTTACTGGCATGGTGGCTCCAAGACTCAAAATGTAGGTAACCTGGTTGGCTTTGCAAAGGCTGATTTACAAACCCGGCGTTCCCAGTGATTCTTTATTTTTAATTTTTTAAATTCTCCACAGGCATTGCTTTGTTGGAACTGCTATCAGTGGGGCTGTCTCTGGGGTGGGAGGGGAAGATCAGGTGATAAGAGGGAACACCTCCCTTGATGAGCTTCAGTGTTTAATTAGGATGTCCCTCCCCCTGCCTTGATGTGACCTCTGGGCAGATGTTGTGTTACTGTCTTTCTCCTCTGGCCGTAAGTGATCGGAAGCTGTAGTTAGAACTTTCAGTAGTTTATGGTACTAAGGCAGTTAGAGGAATTCCCACTTAATTCAGGTCAAAAAGATCAGGGTGATTCAGGAAGATAGAAGGATTCTGAGGAGATGTCAGAATAAAGCATTAGGAGTTCATGAAATCTTTGTTTTTACACTTAAATTCTGCAACTAGTTATTGCTGTTGTTTGGGTTCGGCTGTCTAGATGGGGGATTGGCAGACACTGGCTCATGGGCTAACTTGGACTCTTGTCTGATGTTGTAACTAAAGTTTTGTTGGAACGTGGCCATGCCCATTTATTTCCATTTATTTCTGTGGTAGTTTCTGTGCTTTCAGCAAAACTGAATAATTACGGTAGAGATGGTATGGCCTGCAAAGCCTAAAATACTTCATTATCTGGCCCTTTGTAGAGAAAGCCCCTGCATTAGAGGATGTAATCTCTTTCAAAGTAAGATCACCCCAACATTCTCTAAAGTAGCCCTAATTTAGATAACATTTAGATAAATTTGATGCCCCAGGCCACAGGAAGCTTTTGGTGGCACACTCTGTGTAACTGTTGGGGACATCCCACCAGTGTCTTGCACTGCTTGCTTCAGTGCTGTCCCCTTCTTTAGGGAGCTGTGAACATTTGCATGTCGCCTCCTCAGAAACTAACACTTCTCTCCTTGACCTCTGTTCAGCCAGCGTTCTGAACCCGAAGACCTTTATAGATTGAGAGATATAGCTTGGACCGCTCTCTGGAGATCAGCATCTCAGTATCCAGGGAGAAGTCATCTCTTCACCCAAACTTCTGCTAGCAAACCCAAGAGGCCCGGAACCTCACAGTCCCGACTGCTAACCAGTAGAGACGAGGGAGGAACTGATTTCTGTTTGTGCTCAACGTAGCACAGATCAGGAAGGGGGCAGGTGTGTGGCAACTCTCTGGACTTAGCGACTTGCGTGATGGCTCTGATTTGGTAAAAATGAGTGGAAATGGATTCAACCATTCTTTACTGGGATAATATTAAATACAAGCCTTGCCGGAAAGTCTTGGGGGAGGGACTGTTTTAGGTTAGGCCATTTCCCATCACGGAGGATCCCACAGCTATTTTTCTAGACTTAGCCTGTCAGTTGCGCTGATTTGTCTCTGTATTTAAACAGGTGAGTAGGAAGTGCTGCTGGCTGGCGTCCGAGGGCTGACAGGTGCTCATCAGAGGCAGGATTCTTCTCATGAGGGGTTAATTGAATGCCTCAGTGTGGGACAGCACCTACCCTATTGATGGTCTCCTGTTAGCGGGGCCTTTTGTTGGAATTTACAGCCTGTCGCAGCGGGCATACAGAATTACCATCACGTTTAAGGAGTGAAATCCAGGTTTTGTCAAACGTCCATTTAAAGACTAGTAACAAGGAGCGCCCAGCCGGCTCAATCGTAGAGCATGTGACTCTTGAGCTCAGGATCATGCGTTCGGGCCCCACATTGAGTGTAGAGATTACTTAAAAACAAAAGTCTTTAAAGAAAGGAAAGAAGTATGAGCAAATTAAATACTTTCAGTGTAATGTTTATTGGCAATGATGATAAAACTTTCTCCTTGCAGTCTTAAACCACCAGTGGTTACAATTTGGCTTTTAAATCCCTCTCAGGATTTATTCAGGATGAAAAATTCCTTTGGCCTTTTGAACCTTCCTATCACTGGGCTGCATCAGTGTCATGACTTTAGATCTAGGATAGCCTGGTTTGGTTTTGATTTTTGAGCCAGAGGACCCATTACCAGGAACAGAACTTTTTTCCCTGAACAAATACAAGCTGGCCGCTTGGGTCTACACCAGTGAAATGTATTTTAGGACTGACACTTCATTTTCTGGTATTTTTGTAATGTAATCCCCTTGCTAAATTTTATTACATAGATTCTAATTGTGTATATTTATTTAAACATCAAAATTGGTATCTTTGGAACATAAA